TGGTCTGTGGTTCGCGACTTTTGCAGTCACTCGGCATTTGCGATACCGGACATTGATCAATGCATATGGTATGAACAACGTAAGGGTCCATTCCCCGAACGGCTTCATCTTGAAATATCCTGAACGCTATCTAGTACGACCACAGCGGGACTCCAGGTATATTCGCTCTTCATGCGCGGGTGAGTCATGGTTTCCTCTACCAAATGATTGGTGACTGACCGTTTGATAGGTTGTCCCTTTGGGCGCGGGAATTTTGGTCAGGTCATTGTTCAGCACAACCGGGCGGATTAGCTAACAGTATTGAATAGTCGGATTTCCAGCGAATGGGCCAAAGCTGTGACGATACGATCAAGCTGGCCGATTCCGCTGCGCAGGTATACGGTGGGCGCTGTCGATCTCCGAAATGACCGTAGCTGACTAGCAAATCAGATGATATCTTCGGGAAGATTTCCACTTACAAGAAAAACAAGGAAACGGATCATGCCCAGTTTTACAAAGAGAATGCAGAGAACGCGATCAAGGCACAGCAGCATCGTATTCAGCAGGCCTCTGTTCTCTTCCAGACCACATCGGAAGGCCTGGGCTACGCCCTCGCGGACATACCAGGCTGAAGCCCTTGACTGATAACTGGTGCACGTGGTACCAGGTGGAAGCAAGGAAGGATATCCAGAACGAGGGCGTCAAAAGGCTGTTGGTATGTAGCGTTCCTGTGGGTCCTTGAGTTTGGATTGTAACACTCGTGCAGGGAGACACTACCACACTGAGGAAATCATTGGACACCGCTGAGCCTAGCTTGCAAGCGATGAAAGGTGACCGCAAATGGCAATCCGACCTGTTCTGCTTCCTGCTGACATGCTTCAGGCTATGCGATTGCAGTCATGCAGGATTTCCAAGTCACTCACGACTGGGTCAAGGTCGAACATCTTGACAAGTCAGACGAATACTTGGCACAGCTCCACAAGAGCGTTCTCGCTCGTTGGGACGGCCGCAAACAGGACGGTAAGACTGCGGGAAATTTTCAGAGCCTGCCTGCTGATCGTCCAACAGCCCAGAATTTCAAGGACACTGTCTTTGCGTACTGGAACCCACGAGCCCAAGAGGCCCTCAATGGCTCGTACGCTGAACGAACTGCGAATGACAATCCCGGCCCGAAATAGATATGTTTTACTTTCGTACGATGATCTGCGGTTGCTGTTTGTAGTTCTGCAGAAATGCACTGCCTTGAAAAGCCAACTGTGCCAGTCCAATCTGTACACGTCTTGTTCCACTGCATCCTTAGCTTTTCCCCGCTTAAGACAGCCACTCGTATCCCTTGGCATACATAAATTTCAGCGGGATTCCCGACCCGGACGGGCCGCAGTTGCAGGGTTGCTGGTACCCACCACTAGTCAATCCAAAAGCAATTAAATCAAAATATATGGTTGTAAACTGATATTTCACCCCGCAGCTACATGCATGTATGCACCAATACTAGTCTGGATGAACACGTCTCAGCTCAGCTCAGCCATGTGCGGAGATAAATCCCTCACACCCATTTCCAGCGGGAAAAGGCAACCTGTCGATCTAATCTGTAGCTTTGCTCCAGTGTTGAAGGGAAAGATATTGACGGATAATTTGAGGACTGATTGGGGCATGATTCTCTCCCACAATATCAGCCCGTCAGCTGAGCAGCCCAAACACCTACACCTGGGAGGTTCGTCTTAGCCACAGTATTATAAAGTTCACCTGTATAGGAAAGGTTCATTGCAACATACCCAGAGTCGAAATGAATAACCCTTTCCCGCAAAGCCCAAAGTCGCCCGCCGAATGGGAAAAGTATGCGACTTCCCCCCAGATCAGTGGAATTCCATTGAAGGCTGAAGGAACCATACCAACCAAGCCGGGCGACGTAAGTAATCAATGCCACCCGCGGAGCAAAGCCACTGACTCTTCCGATACAGAACGCATTCATGCGAGATGTCTACATCGATGTGGCCAAGGTCATCGCAACAGAGCCCTTTCAGGTCACAGCCGCGGCAGATGTTCTTGGCTTCCACCCCGACACCACCGTCGACCTGTCAAAGACCGCGGGTGGCATACAGCTGTATGGCAGAGTATTGACCGCGGACTCTCCGGTTAACATCAAGTTACAAGCAAAGAATGTGGCTGCAGGCTCGTTCACTATCTACGGCACCACTCTCGACCAGAAGTTCACCTACTCGATCGACGGAGTTGACGGTGTTGATGGAAAGGTTCAGAACACACTTAGCCTTGGCCCGGGTACAGGTAATATTGGATTGGACATAGTAATCGACAAGTCAACAAAACCTGCAGTCACCACAGCGTGGATAAAGGATTATAGCCTTTGCTGGGATAATTATAGGCTGGTGGACACCCTGGCCACTCAACTGCGCATTGCCTCTATCCTATTCTGGAGTCATCCAGATCTCGCCCTCGCATTGACTGTTTACGTGGGTCTCTGCACAGGTAGCAGTGCTAAGTATGACGGAAGCACCAACCTTCAAGCCGTGAGTCTGGGTCAGCAGCTGGCCATCCAGAAGCTCCTCGGGCCAACGGGGAACTACGTCCCCGTCCTGGCGGTGGACAAATATATCGACTCCCAGACTCTTCTATTAAATACAGGGGAAGCCTTTCAAACACAGTATCAAAGATTCCAGGATCGGAATAATGATCTGCGAGACCGGCACGCCGCCTGGACGGAAATGGCAAGCAAAGCGGGAGACCAGCTCACAAATGCCAAACAGCACCGGGACGAAGCGGAGAAGAAGTATAAACATGTCCTTGACATTGTAGGCTCTTGTGAAGCCATGATGAAGCAGGATGAAGACCACATCAAAGATCTGGGAGATACATACAAGAAGGGGCTAAATGATTGGCAGAAAAAACAAAAGAAATGGGCCATCTTCAAGATTCTTGGCGCCATAGCCGGTATGCAGCTTGGGTCCCTTTTCCTACATTGCCATCTAACTGAGCTCTTCAGACTTTGGTTTGTCAATCGGCATGCTATTGCTGGGCAGCTCAGGGGGCAGCGGCCCGGTCAGCAAAGCCATAGAGGCAGCCGAGGAGGTCGAGAAACGCGGCGAGGCCGTAAAGTCACTGCTCAGGTCTGACGTCCTCAAGAAAATCGCAAAGGGTGCATCGACAGTATACAAGCTGTATCCAAACATCTCCAAGGCAATTAAAAATCTCCAGGAGCTCGAGAAGAATCCAGATGCAGACGTCAGGCCGATCCAAGAGGTCCAGGGTGATGCCGCCGATGCAGACGCGCTTCTGTCCATTGCTGAATGGGATAAATGGATAGAAGATGCCAACAATGGGTTAGCGTTGGCTGTGAGTGAGAAGGTAGATGGCGCAGCGGCTTTCCAATCGGGGCTTCGAAAGCACTCCATCAATGGAAAGCTGTTGGCGCAGGCCAAGGCAGAGGCCATCAAGTCTGCACAGGAATATATCCATGCATATATGGAGGTAGTCCTAAATCAGAAAGACTTCAGGAGACTTACAGAATTGGAGACAGAGTTTAGAAAGAACCAGAAGTTGACGGAAGAGGTAGAGGTCCGGTTGTATGACCGGTACATGGCCGTTCGAACTAGCATCCTCATCCAGATGCGCAATGTCGCGTGGGCCTACAAATTTGCCGTGTTGGACAACTATCCGATCCAAATCGATCCACTGAAGAATGTGCAGGACTACCGAAAGGACCTCTCTGACTTGGTTATGAAATTGCAAAGGTTCAAAGAGCAGTACCCAGGTGGCCCCTCGCGTAAGTCCGGCTGATCCAAGAGGTTAAATCTTACTGATATAGGACTATACAGGATTTGACACGAAGATAATATCATCCCAGAATGTGAGCTGCTTATTAGTCTCCCTCATCCTGTTTCCTCAATTCAACACCACTGACTTCTCCAGCTGCCGGTCCCATACAACGCCCAAATTGTTGAGCAGCTCAAAGCCTCGAATAAAAGCACTTTCACGTTTATCCCCAAAGTCCCGAAGACACACGATCACAGTCCCGCTGGTCCATTCTACGACGGGTCTCACTTTCGCATCAACAGGTTGGAGATCACACTAGTTGGTGCGAAATCTAATGTCACAGATCAGAACGAGCCGGATTTTGCCTTCAAGATATCTACATCCGGGGTATATAATGATATACTTAAATCAGACATCTTCAACTTTGTCGGCCCTGTGTTCTCCCGCGAGTACTCATATAATATTGTCGACGGAAAGCCTGTCACGGATACAGCATTCACCATCAATACAAATGAGTACAGCGCACCACCGCCATTTACGAGCTGGACAATCGAGATAACGAATCCGGGGTCACTGGATCTTTCTGGTCTCACTTCCATGGACCTTCAGTGGCATGGTGAGAAGTACAATGAGGAATTCTTGGGGTAATGGATGGCTTTTTACGGGGTCCTGCTTTTAGTGGATACAGTTGCGAGACTTCAAACTGAATTTTGGGCCTCATGAGAATATCAGCTGCTTGCTTTTCAAAGCAAAGAATGCCCTTAAATGTAGCTCTGAGCCGGTCTCTCAGTATAGCGTCAGACAGTGGTCGCACGTGTATTGAGCCAATGCTCATTTAATTGAGACTAATTCCAGTCAAGAGTTGGATGAAAATTCTGTCTCGATTCTCGAATTTGTTCAAGCGACGCTGTAAAATATTATTCCCAATCGTTTTGGTCATCATTCGGAAATTGATACTTTGGATCGCAAAATATATGCTCCTCTTTCAGCTACACGAGATCTCCATGGTCGGACCTGCAAGCATCTTCTAGTATTCGGAACAACATGTCAGTGGGCGCTAGAGTAATTTCATTGATCCTGATCGAATGTACGGTTGGAACTCGCACAAGGACGATATTCCCCTGTCCTGACCTACATCTGTATATGCCCAGCAGTAAGATTGAACGGATGTTTCCAAGCAGAATAATATATATAAATGCTTAATTTAATAGTACGCTTCTATCTTGAGTATCCATGATAATGCTCCATTTCTACTCCGCCAGACATGTTTCAATGACACATTGTTGATCCCCCGGAGCTGACCAGACCTGAACAAGCTTGAGAGGTGGTTCCACCGAGGCCAACAGCTCATTCCACTGTGTCTGAGTACGCTCCATCCCGTTAGTGAAGAACAGCATCAGCATATCCATGTTACTCCTCATCATTGACTCAGTCACATCGGAAAGGATCATTTCGTTGATGAGAAGACGTGAATGAGGCTGCATAACCTTCGCAATATTGGAAAGGATTTTGCGCGAGGCGATATCGTCCCAGTCGTGAAGGATAGATTTGAGGTAGTATATATCAGCCCCTAGATCAATGTTAGCACTTTAATATAAAAAAATGCTCACTGTGCGAGCTATTGCTTCTCTCTCAATGTTTGCGTTTTTGAAGACCTACCCTTTGAAGTCTGCTCTGTAAAGAAGTCATGCGAAGTTGGCTTGATTCGAGAGTCAAGCTCTCCTGGAATTCCAGCTATAGTCTCCGGGAGGTCTTGCAAGATCAGCTCGCAGTCTAGCTCAGGGAATGTATCCGCAAAACGTTGTAGATCAACCCCCTGGTTACCACCCACATCAACAATGATTGGTCTTGTCGACAGTGGTCGTGCGGCTAGCTTCTCCCCAACCGGATATTTCACATGCCATGGGACAGAGAGTGTTTTGTTCCGAGCGGTCATATTGTCGTCAAAGCCTTTTTTCCACTCGGCGTCTTTCGCTAGTGTTTGCCAGATGGTCTCTCCCATCGCGAAGTCGTATGCTGGCGGCGCTTTGCTGATATCAACAGGTTTGTTCTGCCGGAGATATTGGCGGATTTGACTTGCAACGGGGAAGACAATGTCATTGCTGATCGGAGGGAGTAATGTTAGCGCAGGTTTAACCGTAGCAGAACGATACTACAGAAATTTGGGAACACTCTACGAGATAATCATGCCTCCAATAGCACCTGGCGTGTTTTGGGCCAAGGTACACCCATTTGCAGTGTAAGTCTGATACGCAGTCTCATTTGCAAAGCCAATGGCTGTTAGCATGCGCATCACCCGAGCTGCGATATATGGAGTGCATTAGTCTAGGAACTGCATCACAACGCCTTATAATAATAAGTCCCGATACGTACCAATGAGGCCGACATTGTACCCCGAGGCTTTGGACAGGTCCTCAGCAGTCAGACTCTTGCCTTCATTGGCAGCCAAGGTCTGGAGCAGGCCCATCTCATGCGCCACCACAATGCAAACATTGTTCACCGTCTGTTGTGCGAAAGTCATTGTTGTTTGCGATGTGTTCCAATAATGCGAGAAACAGAAGGTACACAACATACCTGCAGTCGCTGTTTCATTGTAAAGATGTGAGGAGGCACCAGCTCCCGACGCACCTTTTCCAGGGCATCCTCCAGTTGCATCCAACTCGCAGGGTCATCTTTGTTGTATTTCTCAATCACCTGCTGCAGCTCGGCAGCGAGACTTCCCTTGCCTTCCATGGTGGTTATAGGTCGCTTCTCTGATTGTTTCTCGTGGAATGGACTGAATTGGCAGTGGATCCAGGCTTATGAACTGTACGGATCTGGCGGCCATTTGTGCCTCTTAAGAATCCTCCCAGGACGCATGAGGGGCAGGTATCATGCCATGGCGAGGTAAAGCCTTCATTTCCAACATCTTCCGCAAACCCCGCCATGGAGTGGAGATGCGAAACAAAGAAAAAAGAGACGTCTCAGCCGTGGTGTCAGCACTAGTAGACTAAGCCCGATCATCCCTGCAAAAGAACTGTTATCTTGGGATACATCAACCAAGTACTCTGTGGCGGCGACGCCTTTTCACATGGAATTCACATCACCATTCTGGAGGGATTTCGTTAATTCGCACGGAGCGATGGCCAATAGTGCATTATTAAGGTACACTCGATTATGCCAGGAAAAGAAGCATTCCACAACGTGGTACGAGGGCTTGGTGTCTGTGCATCCTACCAACAAGGGTCCTGACCCACCGTAATTTCGCCTCTCATAGTAGCGGCACTAGTCAGCCAACGGCTAACATCCTACTTTGAAGTGGTCTATATCAAATCAAAGTTGCCTATAGCAAGGGTAAACAGTACCATCATATAGCATCGAATTGCTTGTGAATATGTACGTCCATATGGAAATAACTTTTCATATCTCAGTGTATGCCTTGCCACTAACAGAAGTTTCAGTTCCCACAGCGCGAAAAAGCAAAGGGAAAGAAAAAAAGATATCTGAAAATAATTCAACTCTTAGACTTCAAAAATGCCATTGAAGTCGCCCTCGAACCACAAAAGAGTAACTTTAATCCCGGCGATCTTCCACTCCCCGTCAACCTGAGCAAAATCCATGGTGTTAACCCCGTGGCCCGTAGCCAGCACCGCATCACCGTGTTGGGGAGTCCTCCGATGAACCGCCATGATTTGAAAAACAACCCTGACGTGTGATTCCGACTCCCGTGTCCATTTACACGCGCCGATAAAATGGTGCGACTGGACCTCGGGATTCCCTAATTGGTTTGGACTTGCGTAATGGTCGATATAGAAAGAAGGCTGAACGGCGGTGGCCTTGATTTGGCCAAGGCTCGAGTAATCCACGTCGATAGTCGGCGCGAAAATCGCCGGCATCCGAGCCCAGGACTTGGTGTCTAACAAGTTCGCCCAGTCATGGAGGAGGTTCTGGCACGCGAGCGGGATAGTTGGGTCGGACATGACGGGCTATCTTCTCAGGGTTATAACGTAGGGGTGCAGAATTCGGGTAGAGTTAGTTAACGACCTCGGCTGTCGCTAAGCCACTTCCCTGGTGCAATAATCCTGGACGAACGCAAGTGGGAGGATGTAAAGTGCGAAGATGGTGCTATTAAAAGGGCAGGAAATATACCTCGTGATGTAGGCACTAGTTTAGTGCTTATCCAAAGACCCAGACATTACGTACCAGTGTATTTAGCAAAGCACGGATCCGCCGGGGTTTATGCGGGGCACATCGAAGTTAATCCCTCGATACATTACATCGTGACATCGCGTATGTGCCCTATTATCCAGCAGCAGGCATGCAGCCTAATACTACCTCAACCCATCGACTACCACAGTCTGCCCTTGGCTCATCGTCCACTTGTGGGATCCAGACAACAGTCCGTAATAACGCCTACAGCTTTTTCCTCACCTCAGCCAACAGGGCAGCTGCCCTTTTCCTTTCTACTGCGTGGTTCCGAAAGAGAGACTATCACTTTCAATGGTCGTTCATTTCCCCACGGAATTCCCTCGAGGCTGTGTCTTTGTCTGCCCAGTCACAGACGCCGCATTGGCCCTCCCGCCTGCGGAAATAGACTTTCTTGTGCTTGGGACTGGTTTATAGGAATTTCTATCTACTGCTTTATCAAACCACCAACAAAAAGGAAAATCGTATTTCATAATTTCAAATTTTCTGGGATGTAGTTTGCAGATGGTGTTGCCACACCAACACCACATACAAAAGCCCCAACCAACCGAAAGAAGGCCACAAGACATTCAGCACCATAATTTCAGTGACTTGATGACATTGCCAGAGAAGAAAGTCACTGAGACGGGACGCACCGGAAGTTCTGATCAACAAATTCAAAGGGGGATCAACACTGACAAGCATGTTGTTGGACAAGCTTTCCTCAGTGATGGGGCATCCAGTATCGAATGGACGGGAATGCTGGCGGACTGTCTGCTGCACGGCCATGGCAATTTCATCTCGCGAGGTATACGGCATGCAGATATTCAGAACAAATTCGTTCCCCTGGCTCATGGAGTCCGAGCAAACCCGCAGAGCTTCCTGAACGTCGGATCGCAAGAGCTCCTGCCTCCCTAGAACCTGCAGCTTCGCGTTCCAGCGTTGCAGCGGCCCTCCAGGTCTTGATAGCTGGTAGATCTGCGCCTTGGCAAGGTCCATGAGTGCTGCGACCTCCTCGGGCGACCGCTGGAAATTTTCGATGCTGAATGCATACATGGTCACAACGTGAATCCCCAGGCGAAAGCAAATTTCCAAATTCTCGGAGGGTGTCAGCAAGGGTGATGCGACAGAGAGGGCCACACGCACACAGTCATACCTGCTCCAGGGTCTCAATACCCATTTGGTGTCCTTTCTTCACGCTGATACGACGTGTCTCTGCGAAACGGCGATTTCCATCCATAACGAAGGCCATGTGTGCCGGTATGGGACCCACCCGGACAGCCTGAATCAAATATTCTTGGAAAAAGCGTGCTAATGGTTGAAGGAATGACATGGCGATTGCTGGAGAGAACCCAGAAGTTCAATTCACCAACTTGGTTACTCTGGGACGCCCGGGTGGTGTTGAAATGACCTACATAGCTAACTATCCTTATGCAAGGGGCTTGGAGATGACCTGTCACCCTGAAACACGTCACATCGTCCAACAATTAATCACTCCCATATGTAAAAACCCACGGTCGCTACCTGTGGACCAGAATGAGAGCATCCTAGTAACTTCAACCATGGATTTCCACTCGAGTGCGACCGCAGACATTGCAGCAGCCGTCCGCAGGTTCCATGAGCTCAAGAAGCCTTTTCGCATCTACCATGGCTCGACAAGCAGTACACGCCAACGACGTACCGATCACTCCAATGTTGTTGATATTTCAGGTCTCAACAATATCCTCTCCATCGACGAATCTCGAATGACAGTCCTCGTGGAGCCCAACGTCCCAATGGATATGCTGGCCCGACACACCCTAAAGCACAACCTGATACCGCTCGTTGTCATGGAGTTCCGTGGAATTACCGCCGGTGGAGGGTTTTCCGGGACATCTGGAGAATCCAGCTCGTTCAAGTACGGGTTCTTCGATCGAACGGTGAATTTCATCGAGATAATCCTGGGCAACGGTGAGCGAGTGACCGCCTCCCGCACCGAAGAGCCCGATCTCTTCTGGGGCGCCGCCAGCAGCTTTGGCACAATGGGTGTGGTTACTCTGCTTGAAATCCAGTTGCGTTATGTCGGGCCGAATCCGCACCTGGAGCTGGAGTATTTGTTTACTAATAACATGGAGGAAGCGCTTGCCAAGATGCAAAGCTCTGTGTTGGATCCTAACTTGGAATATCTCGATGGGATTGTGTTCAGCAAGGAGGAAATCCTCATCTGCAAGGGCCGCATTGCACAGAACAAGGGCAGCGACTATCCTACTCACCGATTTACACGTCCGGAGGATGAGTGGTTTTACATCCATGCGCAGAGTCGCATGCAGGAAGCAAAGCTGTCAGAGAATGCGATCGTCGACTATATCCCGCTGGAAGACTACCTTTTCCGATACGACCGAGGCGCGTTCTGGGGTGGGAAGTACTCGTACGAGTACTTCTTCGTTCCATTTACCCGGTGGACTCGCTGGCTCTTTGACACCTGCATGGGCACCCGCATGATGTACCACGCCCTCCATGAGAGTGGTTTGGCCAATCAATATATCGTCCAGGATGTGGGTATTCCTTATGACAAGGCGAGTGAGTTTGTGGACTGGCTGGATTCTAAGGAAACATTTGGCCATTACCCTCTGTGGCTCTGTCCGCTCCGCGTACAGTCGGCAGGTGAAGGAGGAGGCCTACTAACAGCAAAACGGGACACCGCGACAACGGACACCAGTGATACTGCCGACGAAGACTTTCTAATGAACTTTGGCATTTGGGGGCCTGGACCAACCGACCGACGGCGGTTCATCGATCGCAATCGCCGGCTAGAGCAGAAGGTCCATTCGCTCGGCGGGAAAAAGTGGTTATACGCCCACACATATTATACCGAGGATGAGTTCTGGTCGATCTACGATCGCAAGTCATATGATGCACTCAGAGGGAGATATCATGCCAAAAATCTCCCTTCCTTGTATGAGAAGGTGCGTGTGGAGCTGGAGAGCCCGTCCGCTTCCTGGTCCGAGTGGTTCTGGAGTATCAGGCCTTTCGCGGGGTGGTATGGAGCATGGAAGGCCATTTCCGGAGGAGATTACCTGATGAGAAGTAGTTAATAGCCTTTTGAAAAAGCAATACATGTTCATTTCAACTTCGTGTCCTGATAAGCCATGCACCTGATAGCCTAGGGCTGGCTATCGTTCTTGACTCTACAGTATCCCCGTGATTAAATATAATTTCCTACACATCCTACAATGTCACCCCTCCTTCTATTAATGGACGATAATCTAATTTATACAGACCTCTGGTATCATACTGCAAGGTAGAATGAAGTATAATTCAAACGCCCACCCCCCTCCTAGCCTGCCACCTTAACACCACCCAAAAGAGGTGCCACACCGTGAAAGCCGGCCAGAAGCACGCCAAAAGCATGATTTCGGTACCCTGGTGACACTGCCATAACATGAAATCACTGAGCCGTCTTGTGGAAGACGTGCGAACCAACAGATCCACAGGCAAGCTATTAGCCGAGAGCATATGTCGATCCAGCATCTTGACCACGTCCCCCTTCCCCTCCCGCGAACACTCCACGACGGTGGACTGAACGGCTGTGGCGATTTCGTCGCGTCCAGTGTACGCAATGAATAAGTTAACGACACCCCTGCAGTCATCAGCCTTGCACAAGTTCGGACCCGTACACGTTCTCTTACCGACTGTGACCGGCTGTTCGCGTACAAGCATCTGTAGCTACAGAACGCAGACGCGAACTGACCATCTCCAATCGGCCGATGATGCGCAATTGGATTCCGTGCTTCTTGAGCAGTCCATGTGGCTGGGCGATGCGTCGAATGAAAGATTCAATCACGGTCATCAAATCGCTGACTTGCGTCTCTCCGCGTTTGAAATTCTCAATGCTGAACAGATATGCTGATACCTCTGTTATCCCGAGACTGTAGCTCATGTCGAGGGTCTGTTTCCGTCGTGGGAATTGTTAACACTGTGGCGCGTATTGGCTACTCATTAGATGAGGGGAATAGTTACTTCAAACAATCTGTCAGCACCAGCCGAGTGACCTTCGGGAATAGAGAGGCCATGTTTGCGAGCAAAATGTCGGTTTCCGTCGAGGATGAAGGCAACATGTCGGGGGATTGGCCCGCATTGGAGGGTTTGGAGGGCGAAGGACCGCAGATAGGCTAGGATTGTCAGGCCCGTGGATGATGCCACCGTGGAGGTTATATGTTGATCTAGGAATGCCATTATCTGAAAATATGGAGTAGGAGGATGAGGGAAGTACATGGAGATGGAAACACGATGCGTCTTTCTTAGTCGAAAATGACACCAGACTTGCCGGCATGAATGATATATCAGATTCAATTTTGGGTCGTTGATCAGACCGACAAGGTGCATTGAATGCCAATAGTTCTTGCTTATAGAGCCTGTCAGAACTTGGATCTACCGCATACTTTATTAGGCGGATCCCAATTTCCATCTCCACTAATGGTAAATCGGTGGGGATATGTTGCGCTGGCTCGATTTATTTGCTGCACCCCTTGCATAAGGAGGCACGCCAACCCCTTAGATACAGCATTGCTATTAGCCACCTCCCACACCCCTGGTATATATATCAAAGAGATGGGTCCCACGCGGCAATATTTACGTTTTGTACAGGAGTACTACCCGATCTCGCACAATGATCCTCTCCAAGGTGTCGCTGCTGCCTTTACTGGGCTTCATCGCCCTCACTGGAGCCCAAGTGTCCCCCGAGGTCCGCACAAACATCGACAACTTCAAGACGAACCTCGATTCGACCATTGCTGCCCTCCACGCGTACCAGGGTGGAGTCACTGGTCTGGCAACGCTGATGCACTCTGCTTACTTAACGCGCCAGGCCATTGAGCAGTCCAAAAGCCATATGCAGCAGACGGACCAGTACTCGCTGGATGATAGCGCAGAGATCTCCAACAATACCGTCGCTCATTTCCAATCAGTGGTTGAGTTTCTGAATCTAATTCATACCAAGGTACGATGTTACGCATGCGAGGTATTAAGGTCCATGCTAATCGTGGGGGATGTTTCAGCTTCCACTGTCGAAGAGCGCCAAGCTCGAGAACTCGATGCGTCACATGTCTCGTACTTATATGGACGAGGACAAGGCGTTCCTTGAGCTCATGAAGAGCAAGCTTGCGGTTGAGCATCGGGACACTATTAGTAATGGACATGCGCAGGTGCTGGATGCGTACGAGGCTTTAGCACGGGCCGCGGCTTCATATTAGATGCAAGAGTGTTTGGCTAGACTTATTCTAGAGCCCAGAGACGATAGTACTGGGAGACTACTGTGTGGAGCCGATACATGGTTGGCTTTACTAATAGTGAGGGAATATGTTGTTCGGTAAGCTGAAAGATTTTATCGTCGATCTGCAGTACGGGACTATTTATGAACGGTCTCTGAATGTAGATTTGAATGTGAGATTTAGATATAGTCGAGCTTATTGTTACTATGCTTATCTTTTCGCTTCTAATTTCAGGAGAGATTGAATCCTAGGTCTAGGTGGGCAAGTTCCTCGCTACTGCATCCACTGCAGTGGTGTCGCCTAAGACTCCTGCTGGACAGTGAAATAGCCATGTACCATAAGCTTCCACCTGCGCCAATCCATTGCTAAATCTACGACTGATAGGGTTCATGTCCTATAGGCACCCAGTTGCCTTGATACCGGAAAAGAGAATCCATCTCCATGCATCAACATTTCCGTTCACCGAGGTCGTCCAGGCCGGGAAAGACACGCAATAGAAGGACTTATCAAGGATAGTTGCCATGTCGCCGGCACTATCCGTAGAGAGTGTGCGGCTAATCATTAGTCTTGAACAAACACCTGGAAGAGTATCTTGTCATGGCTGTGCCCAGCAAGCGGTGGGTGGTTATGTATTACTTTCGATGTCAAGGCATAGAATTACTTACTTCGCTTGAGCTTGACCTGTATTTTGGCATGGAAGACAGATATGTCCTGCCGTGAGGGACTATCCAGCACGGGATACTCCATTATGAGAATTCTGCCTGGACCTATCAGGGCAATTTGCGATGTTTACAACACTGAGATATCTTCTACGATCGACCCATGGGCGATAATATCCTCTTTGCAGGTCTACAGAATAATTCATTCCGTAAAGGTATATATCACATACTGCACATCTCTCAATGCCTGCCCGGATCAACTTGTAGAACACATCTAGAATTCTATACTCGTTATTACGCCGTGGAAAGAGTACCATGATTATTCAATATGTTTTGGCTAAATGCAAATGATTATATCAATTCTAGAATAGAACATATCGAGTTATTAGGATTATAAACATGGGGATCTATCTATAGCGATCTATATGTAGTGCGAAATCTTGCGCCGTCCAAGCCCTATCAAGTCTAAAACGAATCTAGCAAGCCAAAAGAAAACAAACATAACCATAGAAGTGAAATCGTAAACATCATACCTCCCTCAATAGCGGGGGCCTTTCTAACAATTGGGGCAGCAAAGAGCAGATTGGGAATTATAAAGAATAAAAAAAGAAAGGGGAAACAACAAATGAAAAGAACGAAACGGGCATCATGCGGGATGGATATCACGTAGAATGGAGCAGGAATTAAACATAACAAGGGGGTGTGTATTGTGCATCAAAGTCATATGCAGGAGGCATAGCAGATTCTCCTTCGTATAATGGAGGAGCGCTGTTGCCGTGGAAGGTGCCCTCCGGGATGGCATTTCGGCCAGCCACTTCATGAATCGGGAGTGTATAGCACGTGGTGAATGCTTTCGCAAACTGCCGTCGGTTGATGAGATCTCCTGTCTTGTCGTCAAGGGTGTCTTCTCCAGCGATGAGATGAACCCTCAACCGGTGATCAACCATGATGGTTGTTCTCTCGCCTCTGGACTCAGCGCACTCCTCGTTAAACTTGCAAGGGGTTACGTGTCGACATGGCTTTCCAGAGTCGAAGGTGCATGAAGAAAGATCCGGTCGATCAGCGGTGGATGCACTTCTGGGGATAGTTATATTAAATTGTACGTCAATTCGGTCATGATCTTCGTGGAGCTTTCGCTGCTGGGCCGATAGTTTCTTATTCGGAGCCCAGCGACCCTGTTGCTTTCCCGAGCACAGCTGACGCACGGATTGCTCCTTCCAAGTGATGCTCTCTCCGTCAGGATTCTCACCGCCGGAGACTTTCATTAACTTCACCGTCTCTTCAACACTCCATTGGACCTCTCGAACAAAGAACTGCTTCCTTTCCGTTGGACGAGCACCCCGCGCCGTAGTGCCACGGGCGACCAGCTTCGCAGAGTATGCGAGCTTAGCTTTGGGATCGGTGGGTTGCTCCGGGGTCAGAGACAACTCCGACTGCAACCGCTCGCCAGTATATTTTTTAAAATGCCGAACAGTCTGGCTAGGGCCAGTCACGATCTGGGAGAGGATTTGCACGTCCTTGGTCGCGTCCACTGCCACTCCAGATGGGAAAGTGGCCGCAGCGCGCACAGCATATGACAACCCTCCAAACGGAGTCTCTGTCGTGCCTGATGTGCCAAATGGAACGGGTATCGAAAAAAGAAACTTCAGCACGCTGCGCCCGACTCATACAACTCGACCGGTTCTGGTGAATGCCATAGCTGACACTGCACCAGTGCCTCTACCGTACTGCTTCCCTCCTTTTGTTGAGTGGTGATAGTCTGGGTTTGAGGTACACGTTTCCTGCGGATCCGCTGAAGGAAATCGCCCTTTTTGTTGTCGTTTTGGCTATTGGATGCCAGCTCATTGTCTCGCAAAGTCACAGTTCGAAGCAGACTAACAGTCACGTTGGGATACTCCGCCTGCTCAAAGTCCAACAAGGATACTGGCACCAGAACGGAGCCTGAAATGGGCGGGCTGTACCTCTCGCCGTGCGACCCTTCATATACGTGATGGGTGGTTGGAACGTCCAGATGCAAAGGTTCCATGTGTGAGATAGTATAGCAATTGCTTTCTCTGATTATAGATGATGGCGGTGATGATGTAACGGGCATCCGGGCACGCCGTTTTTATAACCCTTCTCCCTTCTTGTCAGGGAAGAAGATGAGTGCGAAGAGCCATCATAAAAATGTCATAAGGGGCAACCCCTCGGATCCACGTGGTAGGGATGACTCTTGATAACGACAATTCTTCTCAAGTCATAAAAATCGAAATGTGTGTAAGCTGTGCCGTTCGTTCCTCGTTAGGGCACGAGCACCCGTTCGAAGATGAGTCTCGACCCAGACGTTCCATCTGGCGATCTTCCCAAAACGGAAGCCAAGAGGGAAGTTGGTTCGTAAGCTTTCAAGGTTTTCCGGGGATCCACCACACGACCCTAATTTTGGAAGATGACAACCGTCCAGAATGATCGAAGACGCAACATGTGGAAAGTACTAGAGAAGAATAATTCCGTCCGTGTGACTAAGTGGCAATAGGTGTGCCACGCTCGCAAGCAGAATTTTCTCCACAACGGAAATCCTCCGGCGGTGTCAGCGTGAAGAAATTTCTGCTTCACCGTGGCTACAATGCATGCGGTGGTTGGAGATGGATCATGTTGGGCAACTTGAATATCGCCGGAGATGTTGGACCTGAAGCTTAAAGTTGGGTTCAGGCTCCTTCCTCGATCGACCTTCGAATGAGGAGGCTTATCTCAATTCTTCATGCATTACCCGGGTCGGAAACCCGGGTGACCCACTGTGGTTTATCCACTGGCGAGACCCTCGGTTGGCACGTTTAGTCTTAAGTTTCGGCAGCGAAAAGAACAAAGTTCATCTTCAGGTCCCAAAACTGGCCCATGCGCTTTTTCGGACCTGGTTAACAACGCATGTATATTTTTTTAGCGAGCTCTCGGTTCGTACCATGTCTGTACAAAGTACATGTTCCACGCGGGGCTTTTTCGTCTAAGAGCCTGCTGTTAGTCATAGTGGGTGGGGCTAGTATCATCCCCAGTTCGAAAGTGTTGTCAAAGAAATGACTATACTTTTGGAAAAATTCCTGAAGATCAGTCAAGAAGCTATGACAAGTTGACAACTCAAGCCCCAAAGGCAGGTCCACCAAGGATACTTGATGGTTAGAATGATGCCTTCCGATCGGTGAGTTGAAAATCGAGCGGCATCTACCCACACCAGTCATTGTCAATGCTCCATTGCACCATCGGCTCATTGCACCCTGACGCACGGTCACGATAGCTTGGAGACTAAGCCGGCATCAGGTGACTGGTGGAGTGCAATAGTGCAACGCAGACTCAGTATGTCTCCATCGCTTAGTATAGTGACGGATCTGGATCGTTCGATATTAACGCCTCTATAGAGCACGCCATATGAGGTGTCTCGTGATGAGTTGCGGTAGTGGAGTTCGTGAGTATTGTTTCCAGCCATCAGTCTAGAGTGTCGGATTTCCTCCGGTGATGGCCTTTTAAGTACTAGTGTGCTTCCCCACGCTGCTTTATGCTCACGAGGTATGGGGTAAGTAGCTTGAATAAAGCAGCTCCAGTTCCCAGTCAAGGAACAGAATACAGATACAGAAGCTGTCCAAGCATTCTCGCTGGTTCTATCAAATTCTCCTCTATTCCTGCATTCATTGTCAACTCGGGTTCGTCCAAGGAAAGGTTTTCGAGGAGAATAAGGGCGTCTCTGCTATGGCCCACTACAGTCATTCCGAAATTGATCTAGCCTTCAAAAACATGATGATTGTCCAGCCCACTACCAAGAACCTAGTATGAGCTGATCATGGAACTATTATCTGTAACACTTGCAAGTTAATAATTTTCTACCTAATATATATCCCTGTAACTGATCTGGAACTAGATGCGACGTAGAAATTCATCTACCGGAAGAAATATATTCAAGGAATGTGGGTCATGTTATCTTTATGAAGTTACGGTAGTGCCGTAAATAAATATATCTCCACAAAATCCTCGCTTCCAGAAAAACGCTGCCCCCGCAATATGCAACACTCAAAGCCCATGTCCAAAATACAAAACAACCCATTCGCGGTCTTCAGGACCAAGATAACCGATCAAAAGAGCACGTTTATCTGAGCGTCTCTAGAACCTCATCCTGATGCTTTGCCAGATATTCTGAGAACTTGGTCAAACGAATGGGGTATTTTTCAAGTTCCTTAAAGTTGACTTGGTACCCAACCTCATTTGTCCACAATTGGGCATAGAGTCTAGGACCCCTCACAGCGAGGTCTCTCGCTTCTTTCTCATCGTAAAACTGAAGGGCAATACCCTTTCCACTAACTCGGCTTAGCTCCCGCACGATCTCAGCCGGCGTAAGAGATTCAACACCCAGGTCAATTTCATGTTTGTTAAATGCCGCAGGGTCAATAATTGCAGCTGCTGCAAACTTGCCAACGTCACCAGGATCGAGCACCGTCATGGTAGAGCTTGGTTTGTATGCCGTTAAAAAGACACCCTTCTGAACCAATTCAGGAAACATATACGACGCAGTCGGCTGATGGTAGTTTTGCATGAGAAATGCAGGTCGCAGAATGGTCCAGTATTGGACCCCGGCTTCTCGCACCATTGACTCAATTTGAGCTTTGTTTCGCCAATACCACGCCATGGGATAATCAGGTCCCCAGTTAGGGAACTCTTCGTGCTTTCCCGTCATTGTGACACTGGAATACACAATAGTGGTGACTGTGCCGGATGCAGTCGCAGCATCTATGATGTTCTTTGCATGAATCACCTCACTTTCAGTATCAGGAAGGCTGGGCGATACATTCAGAAAGACTGCGGTAACACCCTCGACTGCAGCCTTTAAGGATGATAGATTGCCGAAATCACCTGGGAACAAGTGCACTCCCAGGCGCTGGAGCTCAATCGCGGATTGAGACGACAGGTCCCGAACAAGAGCATGAACTTTGACTCCTGATTTCAAAAGTTGACGCGCAGTAGCACCGCCTTGGTGGCCAGTTGCTCCAGTAACAAATGCAACGGTTTGGGACATGATATCGAGGTTAAAGGGCACGCGTTTATGCGGAAACGATAACGGATACTAGTGTAATCGCTATTCACAATTTGATGGTCTTCTGGATGAAGGTAAGAATTGAACACGATTCAAACTGTTTAAATAATTTGTGACTTGATAGAGTAACCTGTTTAGCCACCTCATCTCACTTGAAGAGGTATACAGCTCGAGGATGTGGAGCCTTGCAAAAGAGGCATAGTATCCACCTTGTTTTGTCGCACGCTAACTTGGATCGGCCTTAGCGCATTTGGCCATTCCTAATTCAGCATGCAGCTCGACAAACTGGGGACCATTCAACTCAACTCGTCCAGTCGACTGCTTTTGGTGGGGTTGATTACTAAACGAGGAAGAATTCATGACGCCACCCAGATGAAGTCCTATAGAGTAGTTACTTACGGATGTTCAACCGCAACGCTGATGCCGTCTCACAATTGAGCTGTGACTTACAATGGTTTATCGCGGTAAACCCAGCAGAGCGTGCTTAGAATGTCGAGTCAAAAGAAGAAAGGTATTCTACCTAAGCTTGTTCGAGATCGTAGCTGACCTGGTCTGATATTGAGTAAGTGTGACTTAGCAAGACCATCATGTCGTCAATGTGCCAGGGCTGGCTCCAGATGTGTAGGATACCGAGATCAGAATTCACATGCCTTCCGCGATCAAACTGTGGAGACTCTGGGCAAAGTTCAGCCTTTTTCCGACAATAGCCCACCCCTTATCCATGGCAATCAGGCAGTCTCCGTAAGATCCGAACGATATCAACAGGCTGGGGTCTATCAATCTACAGAGCAACATGATCTTGACCCTTGGTCTAAAATCACGGTTTCACTTGAGGATCAGGCTCTGTATTTCTTTTCCTACCACTATCTTGTCAATGGACCTAGGCGCCCTCCCAGCCATCCTGACTGTTTGGCCATAGTATACACGCGAGCAACCGGACACGGATACTTGGCTAAGCTGATCAGTGCTGTCGGATTGGTTAGCCTGGCATATCTGAGAAATGCACCCACCTTGACTCAAGCAGCGAGGCAGACGTATTCTTGGGCTCTTCGCGATGTACGTGCGGCACTCGCGGACCCGGCTGAAGCAGCATCCGACCAGATGTTAGTCGCTGTGATGCTTCTCGTGTTGTACGAAGTAAGTCTTTTATGACACAGCAACGCTGAGCTGGATAGTAACTTCAACCAGACAGTAACTTCTAACTCCAGTAACAGTCTTAGTCCGTGGGATAGACATGCGGATGGAGCCCTGGCATTGGTGCAGCTCCGAGGAGTAGGCCAGCTACGTAATAGAATCGGTCGAAACATTTTTCTTAACTTGCGCACCGAAGTCGTGAGTCACGTTGAGAAATCATTATAATAGGTCTTTCTGACTTTCTGACAGCTGATCAACTGTCTTCAACGCGGCGTGCGGGTACCAATCACCTTGATAAATTGGATGAGTGAGGCCCGACATTTTGAAACCGCAGAAGAGGCACCTGCTGGTAACCTGGCAGACTTGATCGTCAATGCCTGCGCCGTTCTTGCTTCGGTCAAGGAGGAAGCCACAGACAAGGCGGATTTGTCTCATTATATGTCAACACTATTGTCGATTGATCAAGATTTCAAGTGCTGGATTGAAAGCCTTCCCACTGACTATCAATATAACACCTTAACGATCCCAAACGACTCTGGAGAAATATACTTGGGGCGATACGATACTTATTCTGGCGTCGAGATGGTTCACATCTGGAACTTGCAGCGCTGTGCGCGCATCACTCTCCACCAAGCACTCGTTGACTTGTTATTAATACACTTCGACATGGGATTTTCCCCGTCAACACCCTCACCATCCAGGGACCTGCTCAGTACTTCGAACACTGTTATACGGGAGAGCTCCAGTGACATTTGTCACAGTGTCCCATACATCCTCCATCTCTGTGATAAGCCAGGTAAACCAGGTGATGTGAGAGGTGCTTGTATTATACCTCTGTTATGGCCCCTCTACATTGCAGGAACAGCACATACTGCCAACGATACCTTGCGTGATTGGGTCATAGCCCAGATGAATAATATCGAAAATGTCACCGGAATTCAAAGAGCAAAGTTTGTGGCTTTGGATATACAACAGCGCTGTTTATTTCCTGATTGACTGCAGTATTTAACGACGATCCTTCAGATACACTGTTAGACAGCCTTGTTGTGTATAGAGATAGCCGACTTATAACTTCGCGACCACCTTCTGATCCCGAACAACCAGCCTCTTCTCCCCACTCTCCCTCTTTCTCTCCCGGTCTCTCAGCACTCGCCGTAGGATCTTCCCACTCGCACTCTTCGGAATCTCATCCATAAACTCCACCTCGACAATCCATTTATGGCGCACTTTCTTCGCCCTGACATACTCAATCAACTCCTTCCCCACAGCTCTCACGCCATCTTCCGTCGCCAGCCTAGACTTTGCCGCAGCCTTAACCACAACGTACGCCTTCGGCTTCTCACCCGAATAATCATCTGCCACCGACGTGACTGCCGCATCGTCCACCACAGGGTGTCCAAGCAACAAGTCCTCCAACTCAGCCGGCGAAACCCCGATCCCCTTCACTTTAATCATCTCCTTGATCCGATCGGTAATGACAAGGAAGCCCTCCGGATCCATAAAGCCCACATCCCCAGTATGCAACCACCCGTCTGCATCAAACGTTTCCCGCGTTGCCTTCTCATTCCCCAAATACCCCATGACCACCTGGGGCCCCCGGGCCAGGATCTCACCCTCTTCACCAGGCCCCATCTCCTTCCCTGTTTGAGGGTCCAGAATCTTGACCTCAGTGTTGGCAACAATTATCCCCGCCCGTTGCGCATACTCGTACGTCTGTTTCTCAGGCGGATGAGCTGTGATGCAGCTGCAAGACTCCGTCATCCCATACCCCTGCTTGAACCCCGTCCAGGGGAAACGGGCCTTCAGTTTCTGGAGGATTTCACCTGAAATAGGGGCCGCACCGGACGAAAAGGTCTTGACGTGCGAAAGGTCGTAGTTGGAGACGATTGGGTCGGTCAGAAGACGGATGATGATGGGGGGCACGGAGAGGATTTCGGTAATCTGGTATTCTACAATGGTGGCCAGCATGGACTCCATGGTGAAGGAGGGGAGCATGTAGACAGTGCTATTCCGGATTACAGGGAGATGCATTTGGTGAACGAGGCCGGTGACTTTTCTGTGTCAGGACTTGCTCTGTAGTAGGGAGTGGGGGTTGGCACATACTATGGAATAAAGGCAATACAGCGAGTGATTTCTTCACATCCTTTCGCAGAAGTTGGTCGACTTGCATGCATTGTGCGATGACGTTGTGATGGGCAATCATCACCTAGCCAGACTTGTATTAGCCAACCTTCACCAAAGTCATAGACGCATGATACATACAGCTTTCGGAAGCCCCGTGGTCCCTGAGCTAAAACTCAGAAAGCCACACACATCTCGATTCGTCTTGTTCTTCGGAAGCTCAAAAGGGGTTATCTGCCCAGTGGGTCCATAGCCTCTCCCCTTCCTGACAAGGTCTTGAACGGATAGATAGTCGCCCCTCTGACCTTCAAGGAGAAAGATCCGCTCGGGAGGAATCCCGGCTTCCCGAGCAGCGGGGATTGCAACGTCCATGCCAGAAGGGACGGTCATGAGGAATTTTGCATTGCCGGTTTTCAGGGCATAAGTCATTTCCTCGATATTGTATGCTGGCGAAGCGCCAGATATTATGCCTCCTTTTTACGTGTAACAATCATTAGCATTGCATCTATAGTTAGGGGGAAGAGGGACAACCACTAACCGGCACGGACAGTGGCTAGCATCGCAACTGGATACCAAATCGTATTCGGACTGAAGAGGGCAACGGTATCCCCTGGCTGGAGGCCGTAGTCACGCACCAGAGCGGTGGAGACATACGTCGTGTATTCTTTGAGGGCGTCATAGCGAATACTTTCCTTTGTGGCGGCATTGACGAAGGCACCGAGGTTGTCGGGGCTGTTGGAGGTTAGGGGGGAGTAGTGGGAGTCAAACAGCCATTTCCAGATTGTGATATCCGTGGGGACTTGATATTACTTGATTTTCAGTATTATGTTTCACACCCAGAGGTTCGTGGTACTCGTGCAGTTGGGTGGGAGGGGCACATACTGTTGATACGCGGTCTGTCCGACTGAAAGACCACCATTTTAGCCGTGCGTTGTCTTGGTTTCAATCCTAAGTCAAGAACAATTTCCCAGATCAAATAGATGCTAGAGATGCGACTTGTCTGCGCGGAGAATATATGATAGTTCATGCGGGGAAACAGTCGGCCGAGGTCAGCATATACCCCGCATGTCGGTTATAACCTGCTTAGTTGTCCAATCGGTGTATTCAGGTCCATTGAGAGTGTGAGATTAAGTGCATAGATTAACTTTACCAAATACCGAGTGGCTCATCCGATGTAGACCGTGATAAGTGTTTACGCGAGTGGCGGTTATATTGGCATCGAATCATCAAGGCAGAGTCCCGTTTACCGTTCTAGGTTTAAGCAATAGGATCCGCTCCTCATGTTCTGCAATCATCGTAGACATTAGGTCTGATGCATCCCTGCTTTACCTGTATATATTTATACTTCAAACCATGAGAACTGCATCGTTGAAGTTGCGCATGCCATGCGCCAGACTAAAATTCGGCATTGAATGCTGATCTACCCTCTCCAGGTATCGCCAGTGTTGCTTCAGCATAGCAAGGTTCCCGGAAAATATTTCTGAGCGAAATTTATCGAAAATCGTTTTCAGCTTTGTGCTAATAGCAGATCGATGGGTTTGCTGGATAGCACAACGCCCCACAATCACCATTGGCCAGCAAAGAAAGCCGTCTGAGGGCGACTCGGGTGGTAACATTGCTAAGTGAGTGACAAAGGAGGACACCCTTTCCTGAATAGAAGCGGCCGAGATAGAGATGGACCCATCGATAAGGCTTTGCAGGTATATCAGACAAGCAAGGCGATATAGCTCGAATGTCACACCATCGTTGATCATTTCCGCACTCATGTCGGGCTGTACATGGAATGACGCTCGAATATTCCGTAAGTCTTGCTTAGCGTTCACTAAGTCGGCATATATCCTCTTATCAGTGAGCATACTTGACTCGAACTGCGATAGATGGAGGGCGACGCGGAACACAATAAAAAATACTTTCTGCGAGGTACCCATAATTGATCCACTTTCTAGGTGCTGGAGAAGACCCGGAAATTCAAATATCTGCCTGGCTTCACTCAGTACTAGCTGGGCCCCGTGAGTGAATGCGTGATGGAAAAGAAGTAACAAAACATCTCCACGAGGAACTTTCGCAGAGATGAGTTGGGGGGCACCATGTGGAGCCGGGGTCTGAGTAGAGTAGCCGCAGCGTTCAGGTGTGGCAATATCTGGTCGTTATGGCAGTAGTTCTGTGACTATACGGTATTAGACCATCGGCATACCCTGTCATTTCATACGAATACTTGCCTCGTGAAGGCAAAATAAAGCAACTGCCAACAGGTTATGGTCTGCAAACTGTTATTATCCTAGTACTACGCCACGACCCTTTCAATACATACCAGAAGTGGCTGATTGCTCACCACTAAGAGCCTCACGCAAGCCGGAAATAGCTCGACCGTAGTATTCAACGGCTGAGGCTTGCAATTCCACGCTCGAATCATACTTCAGTAGATCTTTCGCTGCTATCATGAGCACACAATGGAGGATAAGGGGACTTTCCATGGCTTCCGGAAAAATCTGAGAGAGGATCGCGGTCTTTCGGTTACCCATCCTTGAAGTCAACCACATAGGGCCATGTTTCGCGAAGTGGTCTAGAAGCCGCCGAACCAGGCCTAGGCTGGGAACTGCGAAGACGGTCACCATAGCGGCCAACTCAGGCGGCACTGTCATGTCCGAGAGAACTTGGCGTCGGCGCGGACGTCGCGTGCGCACGACCACTTCCATCGTCGGCCATTGGCAGGCGAGATGATTTCGTTGACAGCCTGTACAGGTGGGATGCCGCTCATCGCATTTCTTCTTGCGGCGACGACAGGCGAGACATCCATTTTTGGAGCGGGGAGCAGACCGTGACATTTTACTGGGATCTTCGACCATTTTCTTGGTTCGTAGGACTATACGCGCAACCACTCAGCCAACTCTAGGGCCATATACCCATTACCAAAGGTTTTTGTCAAGAGGATATCGTGGAAGATGGATTGCATTGTCGAGGTGGAGAAAATGCAAACCAGCGCGGCACTTACGACTCCCGATCGGGTTTAGCTCGGTGGATTTAGATGAACCATCACATCTGGAAATCTACAACGTTCTCCACCCCATCATCGGCCACCCTTCACCACTGTCTCTAGAAACCAATGGCTGCCATCGCACACCGTGACTACTTCCAGACTTGCTTTGTCGGTCTGGGGCTACGGACGGCTGATAGAATGACTCAATCTATGATATTTACGTAAAGTTCGGCGATGTGCTAGGCGCTGGGGGAAAATATATAAATGTTGGTAACTCAAACCAACCAGCCTACCCAGGAAAAGATTTCAAGCTTGAATAGCAATGGTATCTTCATCGGAGATGGAACACAACACTCAATGTCTCCAGCCTGCAGACGTGACGCCCCGCCAACCATCTGCTGCAGAGAGTCGGGAAGACCTCAATCCACGTCCGGACAAATCCAACAAATGGAACCACCCGAGATCGAATATCATTCGTGTGCTGACCACGTTCTGGGTCTTCTTTGTCATGGGAGCTAACGATGCGGCGTACGGCGTAGGTGCCTGTGCGATGTATCCAGTTATTCATCGCTAATGAGATGTACAGGCTATACTACCATATGTTGTTCCCCTCATGTCTTATACATTACCATTCTGAACTGACGGCAAGTTTGACAGCTAGAGGAATATTATAGCATTCCGTATATGGTCGTTTCCTTGGTATTCCTCTCGCCATTAGTAGGCTACGTCCTGGCGGCATTAGTCAACAACAAACTTCATATGGCCCTGGGACAGCGAGGAGTGGCTCTCATTGCACCAGCCTGCCACCTCATTGCGTATATCATCAGTTGCATCCATCCGCCATACCCCGTATTAGTTGTGGCGTACATCTTTGCGGGGATTGCAAATGGACTTCATGAGGCTGCGTGGAATACCTACATCGGCAGTCTGGAAAACCCAAATGAGCTTCTGGGCCTGCTTCATGGGGTTTACGGCCTTGGTGCAGTGATCAGTCCGTTAGTGGCCACAAACATGATCACCAAAGCGAAGGTGCCTGGTACTACTTTTATTTCTTCATGGTAGGTCCCTTGACTGTTCGATTTTTAGCTAAATGCTGACTACTCGGGAGATCGGTATATCTGTCATCGAGGCCGTGGCATGCCCGGTGGTTTTCTGGCGATTCACAGGGACCGCCTTTCAACAATCCCATGAACAGTCTCACGGGGATCCGGGAGAACAGGCCAAGAGTGGGCTTCGGGATGCCCTTTTCACCCGCCCCGCTGCGCGCGTGTCCTGGCTCTCTTCCTTTGTCCTACTGTTTTATGTGGGAGTGGAAGTGACGATTGGCGGCTGGATCGTTACAATCATGATGGAAGTGCGGCACGCAGCACCGTTCCCTAGCGGTATGACAGCGACAGGATTTTGGCTAGGAATTACCGCAGGACGAGTGGTACTGGGATTTGTTACAGCGCGACTTGGTGAAAAATTAGCCACAACTGTATGCAATGATATTCCCCCTTTACTGACTTGGTTGCTCATGTGGTACAGATCTACATTACTTGTGCAATAGCGTGTGCGTTGGTGGTATGGTTGGTTCCTAATTTCTATGTCTCTGCTGTGGTGGTGTCAATTCAGGGTTTCTTCCTTGGTCCACTATTTCCCTGCGTGGTCGCCGTCATAACCAAGCTTCTGCCCAAGAATCTCCATGTTGCGGCGATTGGCTTCGTAGCTGCCTTTGGAGGCGCTGGCGCAGCTGTTATTCCATTTGTGGCTGGAGGGATTGCACAGGGCAGCGGAGTAAAGTCCCTCTTACCGTTCGTCGTGGGTGTTTCCGCTGGGATATTACTGCTTTGGCTCGGGTTACCACGACTGAGAAAAGGGGGAGCCCAACAATAGCGTGTCTATGTCTCACCATCCCAGTAATGATAGTCCCTTGATACTCTCGTGCAACTCACCAAACCTGAGAACTCAATCTAAAGACAGCCAAAGTACATAAAGCTCATTAGTGCTAGACCTAATTAGGTAGATAGTATAGCATCCAAGAGAATATGATGTAATAGTTGGAGCAGCTCTCCGTACCTCAACTGCAATTATCCGAGCGTCAGTCCATGACCAATAATAGAATGGGCGCATCGCCTCCTCACAGGATTTCTTCCGGGGAAATCGCAAATATTCAGTGAATCAGAAGTCAAGCCCGCGAGGATCAGTGCCTCATGTGGAGCGATGTGGGTCGCGACCACGCAACGACAAGAAATCGCTATGCTTGAAGATCTCTCGTTTGGGAAATTTTCCGGCCAATGTCTTGGATGGCATGAGCTGGCTGAGTATATAAATATAGGGCTCGGTTTGTCAATGACCCGACGAGGGGATTATCTTGTTAGAAAATCGTGCCATCAACAATGTATCTCAATCAACTTGTTCTTGCTGGTCTTGCCCTATGTGGCTCCGCTTTAGCGTCTCCGACGCCCGCCAAACGGGCAGACGAAAAGGTAGGGTATCTCTCTGTCTACTGGACAACCGACGACGAGAGTGTCTACTTTGCCTTGAGCGACAATGATGACCCGCTCGGCTTTGCTGCGATTAATAGTGGTAACGCTGTTGTTTCCCCAACGCTGGGTACCAAGGCCGTCCGCGACACGAGTATTATTGCGGGACAGGGAGATGATGCTGGTAAATATTGGATTATTGGGACGGACCTGAATATCGGCGAAGTGAGTTTCCTTACCCATATCTTGATCGCCAGAGGTGCTGACCGACAGACAACCTGGGACGCCGCCGTCCGCACTGGCTCGCGCGCGATCTATGTATGGGAGAGCACGGACTTGGTCAATTGGAGTGAGAACACCCTCGTGACGGTTGAGGATAGCACCGCCGGAATGGTATGGGCACCGGATGCCATTTGGGACCCGGAACAAGGTCAGTACACCCACTGGAAAGCCACGGATGAAGCTAACTCTCGCAGGGCAATACTTCGTTCACTGGGCCTCGCGATTTGTAAGGAACCCTTGCTCTAGCACATCACACGACCACTTAACCCATAGTCCTAACTAACATACCCCCAGTATGCCGCCGACGACACAGACCACACGGGTGACGCAACGACAGGCAACGTGCTACGCTACGCCTACACCAGTGACTTCAAGACCTTCGGCGAGCCACAGGATTATATCGTGGGCACTACCGACGTGATCGACCTGTGCCTCATCCAGCTCGATAGCAACACCCTTCTGCGCTCATATGTCAACAGCAGCAGCGCGGATGGTTTGCCCGTGGAGATCAGCACCAACGGTCTTCTCGGTGACTGGTCGCTTCTGGGTTCGATCGCTGACAGTGCCGGCTACGAAGCTCCCTACTTCTTTGCCGATAATACAGGTGGTGGTAAAGGATATATGACAGCGGATCTTGTTGGTAGCTCTCCCGGTATTTCGGGTTGGACGTCGGAGGATCTCAGTTCAGGTGTTCTTACTAAAGATACTTCTCATGATCTGACTTTTATGAGACACGATTCTGTGCTTGCTGTGACGCAAAGTCAGTATGACGCGTTGAAGGCAATGTAAGCCATTGCTGTTTGAGATGGATAGAGTGCGGGTGAGGGAAGGGGAATGGCATTGTTATTGGTGTTGATATAACATCTAAAGCAACGCATTGATATCATGAGATATATACAGGCATGTCACAACTCCATAAATTGCCAATTATTAGTCTCCTATTACTCCACACATATGTGTATGTTCCATGTTTGCAATATACTATTACCATTCGAAGCATGCCAGAGGTCTTTGAGTATAATTGGCTATTTACTTATGATACCAAAAAAAAGCATAGATATCCCAATTACTTCAGGAAAAGGGCATGAGAAAATGTACAGAGATCACCTATATCTGCGTTCTTCCCGACTATGGCGCTCTCCCCTTGCCACTCCAGGATCCGGGTCTGACTCGGAAGACTTCGGTGCCGTTCCCTCATAGCTTATACAGCATCAGCATCAATCACACCAACAAATCCCTTATCGAGCCTCGTATTACATACGGTGTTGGCAGGGCATAAGGCTCAGTGATGTCATGCCCCCCTATTGGAAGTAGAATACAATTCGGTATCCCTGATTGCAGAGCACTGATGTGAATGATACTCAACAGGAAGCCACTTCGGATACCTACCTTTACAATTGAACGCCTTTTGTTGACAGGGATCATGGGTGGGGAGTCCATTCAGATATCACCCCGGTAAAACTACACGTCTTAGATTGATAGATCCATACAATACAGTTTCAGCTGAATCGCCTCGTTATACAGCGCGCCGTCTGGTTTTAAGATTTAATCAGATCTGATCTCATGTAGTGTTTGTTTTGTACCAATATAGCTGGTTTATCATACCTTTCACCTCCGGCACAACTTGACTAGCTGAGGACGAATGAAGCCCACAAACGCAATAGGATGTCTGTGACCATCATGATGGATGATATCCGTCTACAGCGATCTTCTTCGAAAACACCTCATTAGGATCGCTGTTCGTCTCCACATACCGACGCACATGCTCCGGAATTTCATTCTTGTTATTCGGACCAGGTATCGGTTCCCCACAAGTCCTCCATATGGGAATGGCACCCTCCCAATAGTGGTCAGCCGCGCCTGCCTCCAAGTCCTTTTCATCCTCAGTCCCCAAGCTATGCCTTGTGTGCACATGGGACTTGCTGGTGTTGATATCCACCCGTATAATAGCTGCCCAGTCGACCTCCGCTCTCGTCGTGGGACGTGTTCCCTCCCACCGACCAGGGACGAAATCATCCATTAGCAGCTGCATGGCTTCCCATTTCTCCTCTCCCGATAGACTGTGTGCATATCCATTGATGGTCGTACTGCGGAAGTTGTATCCATTCCAGAACGGCGTGAAAGCTAGGAAGCATCCATCTACCTCGCTTGCAGTTATCGTTACCATCAATCCTGTTTCGTTGGCCGCTTGCAGGCGCTTCTTCATCTCCGGTTTGATGTAGCCATGCGCGTACAAGACAAGTTGGTCTTTGTCAGCTTTCGAAGATGACCCTGTTGGCTTGTCAAGTCGGCCGACGAGTGCGATGACGGTGGGAAATGGATAATCCGGGTCCCTTCATCGGGAGGAAATGTGAAATGCAGGACTCGGGGGTTGTTAACCACGCCTTGGGCGATGGTAGGCGACCAAGGGCCTGGTAAAAAAAAAACAATCAGCATATCATTTTAAGCAGGGTAGATGGACGATTGATTACCATCCCACTCTTCAGACATTATTTTTGGGCGAAGATGGTTACTCAAGGCTCTCACGAAGGCAAACAAAGCTCCATGATGCGGTTCTGCTGTCCGCAGCATGCGGATATCTTAAGACATTGCCGATCAGGCAAGGCTGCCAGTTAACGAACTCAATTCACTTTTTACCGGGTCAAAAGATTACGTTTTCATTTGCTAGGGCGGGGTTTCCGGAGTTTGGAACACCTGCATGATCTGTCACAAAGCTGAATGATCGTCAGAGAATCCGAGCCGCTTTGACCTTGTCTGAAGGACCCACAATCCCCATACATCACTTTCCAGATCAATGAAACAATCACTTCATACAGTCACACTGTCGTCGAAGCATTCCAACATACACTACCGCCGGCATGGGAAATTCCTTTGCCTCTTGATCCTCCATACTAGCTAACATCGATACTTAAAATCAACGATGTTTCTTCCCAGCGGTGTGCCTGGATGCTCCATTGTGCCTTGAATTTTACTTTGTGATCCTTGTTGATCTCAGAGCTAGTACATGTATAGCTGCATACTCGCTTACTATTTCTTCCAATGGAAGGCACCCATGCAGGAGATTTGTCACAATTGATGAAAGGGATCAGCCCGAAGAGGCCGAAGAGGCAAGGATCAACAAGTACGGAAGCTTAAAGTACATTTTGTCAGGGAGACTTGTCCGAACCCATCCTTAGCTTAATATTGGAACCTATGGGATCAAACACTGACCAAAAATCCTTATTGGCTCCTCTTTGCGATCTCATCAGAGACTTCTAGTGGCCTTGCACAGCGGTGGCGGGGAAATAAGTAATAAACTAGATCCTCGGTATGCTTTGAATAGTATAGTATCACAATTCGTAACCCATTCCATAACCGCGATCTAGTTTGACCGCTAGTTTCACCGCTAGTTACAAGATACGGACAATGACATGGGCAATCCGTCAGAAGTCTGCAAAGGCAACCGACGGTGGAAAATGAACTAGTCGTTGTAATAATTAGAGGTGGACATAAAGAACGATGAAATCTATGTTTGCAGGCGCTGGCTGCACATTTGCGTACGTTCTCAGCTTCTTCGGAATGGCTGGCGGCATCGCCGACCACTTCAGGGTGCTGAATGTACACTTTGTATAGAAACTGTGCCAATAGATAGGACAGCAACCCCTACTAGCCCTTGCGCTGCAATAATTGGGCATAATTTGAAGTATAAAGGAGATTGATCTCTACTGTCGTGAAGAAGGTTGATTCTCTCTGGGAGATATATGTACTGAATCTACTTTTCAGAGCAAATATGTCATTGATACTCTCTACTTTATGCCGTACACACGCTGAGCGAAAGCCACCAGAGGGATTTCTTCCTATTGAGTCGCCTTTGAAGGCTTCATTAAACCAGTATTATGAACCTTGGGAGACTATTACGGCGAACCTCCCAGCTCTCATATCTGGTCGGGTAATACGAGACTCCGTTGACTGTATGCCGATTTTGTCCGTACTTCACCTACAGGCAGAGCCAGAGTGGCGCAGAGCATACGTCCTGCTGACATTCATGCTTCATGGGTATATATGGGGATGTCCCAATCCAGTAGAGGTAACAAACAGTAGATAGATACCTGGTTCATTCCCGTTTACTAATGGATGAGAGCTAAACAATCTTTCAGATCATCCCACCCCCACTTGCAATCCCACTATTGGAGGTTTCCGCCCATGTTGAGCTGCCGCCAATTGCAACTTTTGCTGGATTATGTCTGTGGAATTACAAAGTGATCGACGCAGACAGATCTCCTGCAGATCCCGAAAACCTTCGTACGGGCTTCACGTTCACTGGAACAGACGACGAGAAATGGTTTTATTTGATCTCTGTAGCTATTGAAGCAGACGGCGCAAGAGTAGTCTCGCTTATGACAGATCTCATCTCCGCATCGCAGCGGCAGGACCGACTTGCGGTGACAAAGGGCCTGGACTTACTATCCAAAGCCATCAGCCATGTCAGATCGCTGCTGCAGCGCATGTACGAGCGGTGTGATCCACATGTATTCTACCACCATCTGCGACCCTTCTTGAATGGTACCAAGAATGCGGCGCACGCCGGACTTCCGTTGGGTATTATCTATAACGATGGAACAGGGCTGCAAGGATATACACAATACCGCGGGGGAAGCAATGCGCAGAGCTCGCTCATTCAGCTCTTTGACATTGTTCTCGGCGTTGAGCATTCCTCGGCCGAACGGGCCTTCTTGCTGGAAATGCGCGACTACATGCCGGGCCCTCACCGCCGATTTCTAGAACGAATTCCTCCTCATGCGAATATGCGCGAGTTTGTGAGGAACAATCCCTGCGATGAAGAGCTGAATGCTGCATATGCCAGGGCTGTCTGCATGCTTCGTTCACTGCGGAATGCACATTTGCGTATCGTCTCTCGGTATATCATTGTGGAGTCGAAGAAGGCAGGGCCGGCATCGTGCTACATATGCAATTCTCAGAAGAATATCACAGATTCATTAGAATATTCGAAGGATCTCTACCTCGATCGCAGCAGACAAGATAACAGCAGGAAAAGGGGCGGTCCTCTGAGGGGCACAGGCGGAACACCTTTGGTGCAGTTTTTAAAGCGGCTTCGGGATGATACGAGTTATCACTAGACCATGTCGCTCGCTCGATGAGAAAAAACTCTCGGATTAGAGTTTGTCTTTTGGAAGTGCTTACGATATGAAGAAACTTTATCCAAGTGGATTGCTGTGGGGTATCTGGTAAGCCTCGCCAGCCATCTTGTGGCCAATTCGAAGCTACGTGGCATCTCCACTTCAGTCAACAGAGTTGTCTCTCTTCATGTATACCATGACCAGTGTTCAGCAGTATATTTTCAATCCCTTGTTCGGTATTAGCTTAGGATATTAGAATACGATGTTTAATTGAATAACACTTTGCATTGGCTGGAGGGCCCATGGGCTGTGGCGCTTGGAGCCGTGCGCCTATAGCTGCAAGTAGAGTAGCCTCACAGATCGATCTGACTAGGGTTCTGCAAGGGCCTTCAGCAAGTCCCGAATTGTACCAGGCCGGCGGAATATGAACCTTCGACCCCCAACCCAGAAAAAAGGTCCTCGCGAAATATCATTAATAGACCTATCTTCATATGAATGTATCGATGAGAGAAACACAGACAAGACAGAAAGTAGTCGTTGTGGGAGCAGGTCCAGTTGGCTGCTTAGCGGCACTTTATGCAGCACAGCGAGGAGACGATGTAGAAATTTATGAACTTCGTGAAGGTAAGCTCGAGCTATTTCAGCCACGCCTTGCGACAACAACATGAATGG